GTAATAAATTGTGTTTGGAGTTAACATTGCAATTTCGTCATTAGCATAAAATTCGATATTTTCATCTTGGCGGTAGACGAATTTCTTGTGAAGAATAATGTATTAATTTCCCAGCAAGTCTTTTGTTGATGAGAAAAATAACTGAATTATGAATTAAGGAATGGTAAAGAGAAATACTCCTTTGTGATAAATATCATATTAAAATTAAAACTAAATTATTAAAATCAAAATAGAAACTATGAAGCATAACAGCATTGGTATCTATAAGTCCAACATAACATTGTTTAATAATTATTGTTGAATTGTTAACAATGTTTTTAACGTCAACAATGTTATGCTGTTAATGTATATACTGATAACAATGTTATGCTGTTAACAATCATTAGAATGATAACAATGTTTATAATAATAACAGCGTTATGTTGTTAACAATGTTTTTAATGTTAAAAATGTTAATATTGTTTAAAAACAATGTTATGTTTGGACTTAGATATACCAATGCCATTTGGCTTCATAATTTCTTATTTGATTTTATTAATTTATGTATTTAATTAACAATATCACAGCAATGTTTATAGTATAAACAAAAAATAAATTTTCTTTACTAGTAAAAATCAAATTTCGATTTTAATTTCTAGTAAAATATAGTTACAGAAATCTTTTTCTTTTCTTATTTTTTTCTATTTTTTTTATTTTATTATTTTTTTTGGGAAATTTTAAACATTTTATGAATTATTATTAAAGTTAAACATTTTATATGCGTTTTAAATATGTTTTTACTTATTTTGTAAAATCCTTGAACGAATTAGGTTTTACCACAATATTCACTATAAAGTTATACAATGTAACAACAGAATAAAAGTTTTACAATTTTGTTTCACCACATCATGCTAACTCTTTTTAATACATGAAATGAAATTTTAAAATCAGTTAGAGTTTCTGAGGACTATTTCCTAATGTCTATTTAATTCACTATAACTATTGTATAATCCTTGAATATTGTATATAATTGAATCATACACTACTGTACTACAGTACAATATTGTATATCATATCACTAATATATATTTTATATAACGATTCTTGGGCTTGGTCACGATTACATATCTACCAAGTGGAATAAATAACAACATATATTTTATGTTATGAATTAAAAATTATTCAACAATATAGCATTGACTCAAATTATTTAATTAATTTTGTGAATTATTTTATATCACACTATATTTTTCTGTATATTTTTTTTTCAAATGATTATTATTGAATTATTTTATATCAAACTATATATTTCTGTAATTTTATTTTTCATGCAGACAACCAAAAACATGGAGCTGACAAGTAAGTGTGCTATAAATATATTGTTAATATTTCTTGTTATTATGCTTTAAAATTTAAAATTTTATTTTAAATGCTAAGGCAATGAAACATTTGATAAAGCCCTTGTCTCTATTGTAACAGATTTATGACAATGCAACAGATTTATGCAAATGATATCTATTTGAATATAAATGATCTCTAATTAATTCTTATGATGTCAAATAAACATCATAAGAATAATATTAAGATGTCTATTTGATATCATAAGAATTGATATAAGATGTCTATTAGACATCATACGAATTATCTCAAGACGTCTATTTCACATCATAAGAATTATAAGATGTCTATTTAACATCATACGAATTATCTTAAGATGCATATTTCACATCATAAGAATTATCTTAATATGTCTATTCGATATCATGAATTATCAAAGATGTCTATTTCACACCATAAGAATTATCTTAAGATGTCTAATTGACACCATAAGAATTATTTTGGTGCTACTTTAATAATTCATTCACATTTTTTTTTATCTTATAACTGGTCAATGGAAAGATTTCTTTAGAAATTAATAGGCATGATAAGAAATTAAGATACTTTTGATTTAGAGTTTTGTGGATAGTGTCTGGGATATATTAGTTCAAAATATCACAAATAAAGTTAAATCAAACCTCCCATATTTAAGCAAAGAATGAAAAATAAGTAATTTAATAAATAAGTAGAAGGGAAATTCCTTCTATTGTGCACGCTACTTCAATAGCGAATGCAATATCCATTTTAAATGTGATACAATAATGAGAGCGCAAAGTAGAAGGCCTCAAAATTAAATTATTTGATGATGATATAAATGATGCGTGTTGACGATTTACGATTATTTTTTAAGGATAACAATAAGGATAATTAGATTTAATCTCTTTTATTTCAATGTAATTTCATCAGCTCAAGAATTATTGAATATACTCTACAAAATGAAACGAAATGGATTAGTTTTTAATAAATTTTGATCTGAAGTTATTTTAAAATTTATTAAATAGCATGTGCAGTAAAATTAAGAGATTCTAATCTAAAATAAAAAAATAAAGTGGAAATTTGTATTTAATGTTGGCATACGTTATGTATTTTGACTTTTTATGGTGAGGATTTTTTCTGAGTTATATCTCTTCTTGCTCTTTTTTAATTTAAATGCAGATATAATTACTTAAAACTCATTGCTATTTCATCAACACATAAATTACTTTTTATTAAAATTTTTTTGTAGTCCTATGGTAAATTGAATTTTTTCTATTTCAAGGTCAAATCTTTTATGAACAAAAATTTAAATTAATGTCACATATTACGAGGTATTTCATTTAAAACTGTTTACTTTTACAATTGTTAGCTATAATATTTCCTAGCATAATTACTGAATTTAATTTTTGAATATTTTTTTAAGAAGCCCATTTATATTTTGATTATTATTATTGAAATGTATTTTGTAAAATAATTTCTCATGCCAATTCAAATTAAATTTTTTGCTCATTGGCGTTATATAATTCATAAAACCTTAAAAATAGTTTTCCCTAAAATAAACTATATCACAATTATTAAAATTGGACATTACTTTTATTAAAGAATATATTTTAATTGTCAGAATATCTGACATGAAATTCCAAATAATATTTAAAGAGGCTATACAATCACTTTTTTTTAAATAAAATATTGTTGCTACCATTAAAAAAAAATTTTGCATTATATTTTTTTAATATTATTTAATAATTCTAATAATTCCTTTAAATGACAAATTAATATTTGGTAAATTACATCAATTTTTTCTTGTTCTATGAATTTACATCATTTTATATAGAGGCCAATGCCTTGTTTGCTATATATTGAGCCACCATTTTCTTTAGAGATATAACATTTTCTGCAAGCTGAGAAATTGAAAATAGGCATTCAATGTATAGAAAAAGTGTTAAAAAAATTTAAAAATATATTATAAAACCATAATATTTTATAATATTTCTTTCAAACAAATCCAATAATTTTCAATTAACTCTTCTCAATAAAAATAGTGCTAGCATCAAAACCCAAATTATGCATTTAATTTTTTTTAATATAATTAACCAAAAGTTGACCTACGTCATGTCATTTTGAAAGCCTTAATAACGTTTTTTTTATTGTTGTTATTTTTTGTTCCATATAACTATATACACGAACATATATATATATATATATAAAACATTGGGGCCTGATGACCGAGTGATTGCCGTTCTGGCGCTAGGTACCACAAATTTCGGGTTTGTGTCCCGGAGTGCCATGTATGTTTGTAGTGGTTCGAAATCCCCTTTACACCTTAGGTGCCGCTCTAATATGACTGCAGAGCGTTGGGCGTAGAGCTGACAATCCTACCCAGAAAAAAGAAAATATCCCCTGTCTCGAAATCTACCCGTAGGCACACGGACTTGGCCCACCATGGGGCTTTTGCACAAATGAAGAAGTAAAATCATTTCGTTTAAAATTTTGCTTTTATTCTTGATGGAAACATTTGACTAATTTTAATTAACCATATTTTGAGGTCTTTAAAGACTTAAAAGTTTTCGGTAAACCAAGAAAATGAAAATAGGAATAAAAAAAAAATAGCAACTTTGTTAATAACTTGTTTCCACCATATTTATAATGTTTATTTAAAATGAATTCAGTAATTTTTAATTACTTGTTATAAAGCAACATGGTACAGTCATCAAAAACCAAATTCTGCATTCAATTTTTTTGTAATGTAATTAATCATAAGTTGACCTACGTCGCATTAAAAACTATTATTTCAAAAAACGGAAATCACGTGATTAAAAAATTGTGTAGAAAAGAAAACTGTAGGGAAAAAAAATGTGGAGTCTTCATCGTTTGTCACAATTAAGTCATGCATAGCTAATCCTAGTAATTTAAGTTATGTGGCGTTCAAAACTTTTCAGCCAGAAAAAAAAGAACTTACTTTTTTTTTTCTTTTTGGAGGTCATACATATTTTTTGCAGTGACTGAAGTAAAAGATTATTGTTTAAAATTCCGTGTCAGTATCAGAAGTATATTTTATGCATTACGGATGATGAACCTCTAAGAAATATTGAACATCGTTTTGGGTTCGAGTTAAAGCAGTGCCATGGATATTTGTAAATATCGAACATCGTGATATTGACAACGAGAAATATAGGAATACATTAAGTCATTATAGCGATCGATCATTAAATATAAAATACTTCCAGTTCATTTTAAGAAAATTGTGTGTGCTTTTTAAAGTATGTAATCAGTATGAATTTGGAGATTTATTATTATTATTATTATTTTTTTTTTTTTTTGTTAATTTTTAAGGATAAAACATATATTAAGTGAATAAGTGAAATCGAATTTATTATTATACCTAGTAACAATTCAGGGGACAGAATGGCTAAGTGTCTAGGGCTCCGGCACTCTGTACCACAGGTTTCGGGTTCGAATCTCGGCTGTGCAATGGATGTTTGTAGTGGTTCGAAACCCACTTTAAACCGTAGATTCCGGTCTAATAAGAATTTACAGCCTTGGGAATAGGACTGACAATCCTACCCAACAAAAGAAAACATGTCATGTTTCGAAATCTGCCAGTAGACAAACGGCCTCGGCCCAACATGGGGCTGTTGCGGCAATGAAGATGAAGAATTACTTTTGCCAACGGCCGTACCATGCTGAATATACCGGTTCTCGTTAGATCACCGAAGTTAAGCATCATTGGGCGAGGTCAGTACTTGGGTGGGTGACCACCTGGGAACACTGCGTGCCGTTGGCAAATTTGGGACCTGAATGGCCGAGTGTCTAGCGCTCTGGCGCTCGGTGCCACATGTTTCGGGTTCGAATCCCGGCGGTGCCATGGATGTTTGTAGTGGTTCGGAATCCACTTTAAGCCGTAGGTCCCGGTCTTCTATGACTGTAAGAGCGTCACGGAGTAAAAGTCAGGCTTCTACCTACGGGTGCTCCATCACAACAGAAGCTGCTTCCTTCCCCTTCAACCATGAGTACATATGGGCTCGTGGGCTTGGCCAGCCAAGTGGGATAAGAAACAACAACAACAGAATTACTTTTAAATCTTTGCTTTTTTTTTCTTAATGTAAATTTTTTACTATTTCTTGTTTGGTCATATTTTGAGTTCTTTAGACACTTAAAATTATTGGCACACCAAGAAATTGAAAATATTAATTAAATATATAGCAACTGTGTTAATTTTTATTTTTTTCAAAATTTCCATTCGTAGCATTTTATAATGTTTTTTTTAAAACAAATTCAATAATTTTCAATTAAATATTCCGAAGTACTGCCATCGAAAGCCCAAACGTTGCATTCAATTTTTTTTTTAAATATAATTAATCATAATTTGATCTACATCATGTTAACAACCAGTATTTCAAAAAACGGAAATCACGTGATTAAAAAATTGTGTAGAAAAATAAATTGTAGAAAAAAAAAATGTGGAGTCTTCATCGTTTGTCACAATTTAGTCATGCATTGCTAATCCTAGTAATTTAAGTTATGTGGAGTTGGAAACTTTTCATCCAGAAAAAAAGAACTTGCATTTATTTTAATTTTTATTTTTTTTTAAATTTTTTTTATTCTGAGGTCACATTTTTTTTTCTTTGCAGCAACTGAAGTGAAATATTGTTGTTTAAAATTCCGTGTCAGTACCAGAAGAATACTTTATGCATTACATATAAGCAGTGAATGACAAACCTGTAGAAATATTGAACATAGTTTTGGGCTCGAGTACTAGCAGCCCATGAACGTTTGTAATATTGAACATCATAATATTGAAAATGAGAAATATTTTAAGCCATTATTAATGTCAATAAATATATAAAAAAAACATTTAGTTAATTTTAAAAACTTATGTGTGATTTTCAAAATGCTTTATCAGGTTAAAATTAAAGCCACATTTTGTTTTATATTATTAAGGAAAACATATGCTGCTTAAATGTATATATGTAATTCCATGTACTAATATACCAAATAAAAAATTAATAATATCTATTGGAAATTGTTCTGCAATATATATGCAATTCAGCAATAGAATATTTTTTTCATAAAATAAAATCACATTAATTTTATAGATACATATTAACGTGTTTTATTTTTGAAATACAATTTTTTAACCTGAAAGTAATGCAACTATAATCGTAAAAAGGTTTCCTAACAGAAAGTTTATTCTTTTTTGGATAATACTAATTAAAATGTTATACAACACTCCTTTTGCAATGGGTAGGATAAAATGAGGGCTTGATTGCCAAGTGACTGGCGATTGGTTTCGGGTAGGAGTCCTGAGTATGCCATGCATGATTGTATTTTGGAATCCACTTTAAACCATAGGTACCAGTCTAACAGGGCTGTAGAGCGTTGGGCGTGAAAAAGAAAATAAAAAAGAACCATGTAAAAAAGAAAATATGTCATGATTCGAAATCTGCCAGTTGGCAAACGTTCTTAAATAACTATGGGGCTGTTGCGAAATTGAAGAAGAATACTAGAAGGATAAAAGTAATTTGATATCTAAGGTTGAATGGCTATTTTATGATCTTAGAAATAAATTAACAAAAAAAGAACATTAAATGTATTAAAATACTCCATAAAAAATCTGGACTTCTTAGTTTTATAAATATAATTAGTCTTGAAAGCCTTTATAAAAATGTTAGATTAGAATATTCTTTTCAATTTGGAAAAAAAAAAAGTGCCCGACTCCTGGCTCCGTGGCAATGTGCACCTCTCGTGAACTTATGGTTGAGGTACAATCCGCTGGTGACTTTGTTGCAGACACTGTTGCAAAAAACGAGGACACTCGATGGCTTTGTGATGTTCAACATCATGCTTCGTTAACCGCACTATCTGGTGAGATATTTCTGGGTTTTCTCCCATACGATATGCAATGAGGAGAATTCCACCTAAAAGTCTTCCCAGAAAAAGTCGGATTATTTGGTGGAAGTTTTCATGGTTTTCTCAGATACGATACGTAAAAGAGACATAGTTCCTCTTAAAATTCCTCCATGAATATACTGCCCTCCTTCTTCAGCGACACGAAGCCAAGTCAGACTTCTACCTACGGGTGCACCATCATAATAGAAGCTGCCCCATTTTCCTTCATCAATGAGAACACAGATTCATGGACTTGGTCTAGATGTTGCTGCTTACCAATTTGGATAAGACTTTAGGTCCACCATGTTATGGATACGAGTTACGGCAGTGCCATGGATGATTGTGATGGTTCTGAATCCATTTTAAGCCATAGGTCCCTCTCTAATATGACTGTCGGGAGTAGCGCTGACAATCCTACCCCTTAAAAAGTCAACCGAAACTTCAAACCAAAAGGAACCGAGTCAAACTTCTACGTACGAGTGCTGCTTCACAACAGCAGCTGTTCCTTTCTCTCCATCCATGAGTAGCTTACTCATGGGATGTCCCTCCTTCAATGCCAGAAACTGAGGATTCTGCACAACAACAACAAAACTTTATTTTTATTTTTCAATAAACTTTAGTACATAAATAATGTAATTTGCAGAAGATTTATATGTGTGATTTATAACAAATGCGAAAACAAACGAAAATACTTAATATTTTCTAATTAGCTTTAAAACGAAACAGTAATCATCTTGAAACCTCTATCAAATTAAACAATTTTCCACTTTTTTAACTTATAACACGTATAATATTTTAATTCATTCAGGTGCATTATAAGCTTTTACGCATAAAAGGCCGGGTGCAGTTCTGTTCTGTATTCCTAATTTGTTGTTTGCTATAACGCATAACGGAGTCCCGGCGTCAAAAAGATGGCGGACGTAAATTGAACCTCTTTTTTTCCTCCAGTAATGAGTCCTCAGTTGGAATTTCGAACCCAACTCCGGTGTCGTGACCAAACTAATTCCAAAGTACCCCAACAAAACTAATAGGAAGGATGGCAACTTTTCCAAGTAAACACGAAGCTCTTGATTGCTTTAATTAAAGCGGCAAATGTACTTCGGAGAGAAGACTTTTTTACTCTGGTGCGTTAACTTTTCAAGATCGCATCTACCCACGCCAAACCTGGCGATTTAAACTGAAAATGCTTATAAGTACTTGTCAATTTTCGTAAAATACGCTGTTGCTTTTTGTTGGATGTTGAAATAGTTTTAAATATACTGCTTTAATTTTGTTTTCGTTCTTAATTACTTTAATTAAAACGGCGATTGTACTTTGGAGAGAAGATTTTGTTTTTTACTCTGGCGCCTTAAAGTGTTTTAAGATATCTATTCATTCCAAACCTGGTGAGCTAAACTGAAAATGGCTATACACCTTGCCAATTTTCTTAAAATATGCTATTACTTTTTTACAGACATTTTCATTTTTATTGGATATTGAAACAGTTTTAAATACTCTTTTTAAACGTTTTTCATTCTTGATTACTTTAAAATGGCAATTGCATTTTGGAGAAAAGATTTATTAATCTGACGGTTTAACGTTTAATTTTGTCATCTACCCATGCCGAAAATACGTATACATACTTGTCAACTTTGGTAAAATACGCTGTTGCTTTGTACAGAATTATATCCATTTTTATTGGATGTTATAGTTTTAAATTATCTGCTTATAATTTTTTTCGTTCGTGATTACTTTATTTAAAACGGCAATTGTACTTTGGAATGAATATTTTTTTTCACTCAGGCGCCTTAATAAGTTTTAAGATATCTATCCATTCCAACCCGGTGATCTAAATTGAAAATTCTTGTATATATGTAGTACTTGTCAACGTGCAAAAAATACGCTATTACTATTGACAGATTTACACCCATTTTTATTAAATGTTGAAATAGTTTTAAATACCCTTTTTATATTTTTCGCTCTTGATTATTTTAAAGTTGCGACTCTACTTTGAAATGAGGACTTCTTTTTACTTTGACAGTTTGACGTTTAATTTTTGCATCTACTCATGCCAAACCTGAGGGTCGAAACGTAAAATGCTTACATATATTTGTCAAATTTCGTAAAATACGCTACTGAGTTTTATATATTAATGTCCATTTTTATTAGATTTTGAAATAGTTTTAAATACACTGCTTCTAATTTTTTCGTTATTAAGTGCTTTAATTAAATAGGAGATTGTACTTTGGAGAGAAGAATGTTTTTACTTTGACACCTTAATATTTTAAGATCGCATCTACCCACGCCAAACCTGGCGATCCAAACTGAAAACGCTTATACATTCTTGTCAATTTTCGTAAAATATGCTATTGCTTTTGTTAAATGTTGAAATAGTTTTAAATACTCTGATTATAATTTTGTTTTCGCTCTTAATTGATTTAATTAAAATGGCGATTGTACTTCGGAGAGAAGAATTTTTTTTTACTCTGGCGCCTTAAAGTGTTTTAAGATATCTATCCATTCCAAACCTGGTGAATTAAACTGAAATTCTTATGTATACTTGTCAACATTCGTACGATACACTATTGCTCTTTACAGACTTACGTTCATTTTTGTTGGATGTTGAAATAATTTTAAATAACTATTTTATATTTTTTTTGCGCTCTTGATTACTTTAAAGTTAAGAATGTAATTTGGAGATAATTTTTTTTTTACTCACGGTTTAACGTTTAATTGTGGCATCTACCCACACCGAACCTAATGATCTACATTGAAAATGCTTATGCATACTTGTCAACTTCGGTAAAGCAAGTTATTGCCAGATACTTTATTGCGTTCATTCATGTCTACAATTGGACAGCCTGGATAAAATTCATCGATTTTTATTTTAATTTGAAATGGATAAGTATTCA